GAACTTTTATGTAATGGAAATTACATAAAAAATTAGATAAGAAATAATACCTAAACACCAATGATTTCAAAGGATAATCTTCTCTTCTCAAGAACTTGAAGAAAATACCAAAAACAAAAATATAAAAGGTAAGAATTAATTTATGGAATGGGTGATCATTAAGGGATGGAAATGGGGGTTTATATAGGTCAAAGATTGACATATTTGAATCTATTCATGATCAAAAATCCGATCAAAGGAAATTTCTTAGCTCTCAACCTCCAAATCTTCAAATCTCTTCACAATATTTCAGCATGTTCTGCAGAAATCGGGACGATCGGTATCGGTTGGGCATGTAACCGGTGCAGGTTGTAGCCATTTTTCACAAGAAACTGGTCCGACTGGCGTTGGTTACGTCAAACGACCGTCCCTGGTCCATTGCAGTGGCGCAATTGGAGAACCTGGCGCCGAACAACATATCTTTTTTATGAAGGATTTGGAAATGATTCTTTCATCAAAGTTGTCGATAATGAAATCTTGTATCCAATAAAACTTGAATCAAGTGAATTACATCATCCAATCAAAAGTTATGGATAAAACGGTGAGAGATATGTATCCTGAAATCCCACTTGCAACATTTGACTTTATTGGTTGATTAGGTTTTGATCCTTTTATTAGCGGGTGGAAATCTCTTGGGTTTTCCGGAGTGGGACAATTCTCACATGAAACTCATCCCTTTTTTCAATTTCTCCATTTGAACGAGAGAACTTCGAAAATCAATTTCTCATTCACCTATTATATATCTGTTTTTATTTTGCCATCATATATTGAATCGAACCTCTTACCAAAGGAAACCCGAATCCACTTTGACCCGACCCAAATCAAAAGTAGATCTCACTCAAAATTAAGCCGGAAAACCCCCATTTAATGCAAATTTAATTCTATATTTCCAACACTAATTATACACCTAACTTCAACGTTGCCTTTTTTTTATATCATTTTTATACATTTCAACATGTAAAATCAAAGTTAACGTTTGATAACAAAAAGTTGTCTATTAAGGTTCAAAAGTCAAAAATAGAGACGCTCGAATGGACGCTTATATAGAGTCCGTTTGGTAACTCTAAAATCGGTCGAATCAGCTGATCTTACTGAAATTTATGAAGTTCTTGCTTAAGTGGCTGTATTGGCGGATTATGTTGATTCATGAAAAAATTAAATTTAAAATATATTTTATTAATAAAGTAAAGAAAAAATTATACGTAGTATGTAAAAATAGCTAAAATGGTCCTCTGAAATAACTTCAGCCGAAACAGTCAGAAAAGTAACTCCAACTTACTTTTTCTTATTATTACACATTTTCGTGCGTGAAATCAAAAGTTGCGTGTTTGGTGATAAGCCTGATAAGCCGAATAATTGTGTTATCAAATAGGCTCATAATTAATTAATATACTCCATCCGTCCCCCAATTAAGTTCTCAATTGCTTTTCACACTTATTAAGGAAAAAATTTTACTGGGACGTAAACTTTACTGTTTTGACACTGTTTGAACACTGTTTGAACACTGTTTGACACTGTTTGGCACTCTTTTGATGTAGTTAATTTGCTAAATAAGGAAAGAGGAACTTGATTCAGAGCTACCCAAAAAGGAAAAATGAAACTTAGAGCCTGTTTGATAGCATCAAAATCGGCTATTTTGGTTGATTCTTCTTAAATTTATGAAGTTGTGGCTGAAGTGACTGCACTGGCTGATTCTGCTGATCTAAGTAAAAATCATTTTTAAAATATATTTTATTAATAAAATAAAGAAGAAAAAATATGTAAAAATAGTTAAAATGATCGTCTACAGTAACTTCAGCCAATACAACCAGAAAAGTAATTCCAACTTTACTTTTTCTGCTTATTACACAATTGAGCGCGCGAAAGCAAAAATTACGTGTTTGATGAAAAGGTTGACTGATAAGCCTGATAAGCCTAAATACACCGTTGCCAAACGCCCTCTTAATTGGGGGAGAGTGAGTACATGTCACTACCCTAGCTGGTTATATATAGTACGTTGAACAGAATAGTCTAAAATCATACGGAGTACATCCAATTGAATTACCTATCAAATATTCTAACTACTACACTTCTTTCTTCTAGTGACGTTGTAAAAATCAAAAGCTCTATGATTAAAGGAATCTTAATCATAGAGCTTTTGATTACTGGTTTTGGTGGTTATAAAGTGAATCTTTGAAGAACAGAATCTCATAAAAGAACATAATCTCATAAAAGAATCGAAAAAGAGAAACCGCCCGCAATAACGTGCTGTGAAAGGAGGCGGTGCACTGTGATAATTAAACGTAGGAAACCGAGGGGAAAATAAGAGACTAAAGTCTGCCTTTTTGCCAAATGCAACTTACAAGTTGTACTGAGTTTATGCTTCATCTCTTTTTGAGTACATAGGAATGTTTGGATCTAATCTTTAAAACTGTTTTTGATCTTTCAGAGAGCAAGAGTAGAAGTTTGGATGTTTGGGTGGAAGTGAAAGAAGTACTTCTGGTGCCCTAATTTACTTCTAAAATCAGTTTTTTTAAGTCGGGGGAGACCAGGTTCTGAAAACTGATTTTGCTTCAGTTTTAAAAAAAGAAGCAGAATCATTTCCAACATGAAACACCCCCATAATAAGAAGTACTACGTATAATAGATTAAGAGTAAATGAAACAATATGCTACATTTCTTTAACACAATTAATTTGGCAAATTCCACTTTTTGGGTCTCCAAAATCAATGTTTCATCATTGGTCATTACAATATATAGACCTCGTTTGGTAGCACGAAAATCGACTGTTTTGGCTGATTCTGTTGAAATTTATGAAGTTATGGCTGAAGTGGCTGCATTGGCTAATTCTGCTGATTTAAGAAAAAAATATTTAAAAAATATATTTTATTGATAAAATAAAGAAAAAATACATGTAAAAATAGCTAAAATGATCATCTACAGTAACTTCAGCCAATACAGCCAGAAAAGTAACTCCAACCTTACTTTTTCTGCTTATGACACAATTCAGCGCGCAAAAGTAAAAGTTACGTGTTTGGTGAAAAATTTGGCTGAAAAGCCTGATAAGTCGAAAAACAATGTTACCAAACGGCCTCATATTTAAGAAAATTCTGGAAATACAAATAAAAATAATGTAGAATTCCAAAATAGAAATATATTAACCTCGTTCCTTAAAACTTTGCCAACTTTCCTTTTTTGGATGTTCCACTAACTTTGTTACTTCTCCCTTTTAAGTAAAGAATTTGTTATTCCAGTTAATTCTCTCTCCTCTGCACAAACCTTAACCACATTCGGAGTAGTTTTTTACTTTATTAATTCTCGTGACGGTCAAACTTGGCAAAGTTTTAAGGGACAAAGAGAATAATGTTTTTCTTTTTGAATAAAAGTATATTGTTGAAATACTGAATTATGACAGTCATATTTTGGCGCTATCAAACATCAATTGTGGCATAATTAACACATTTTTTAAATAAAACAATAATTATTCATATTTAGAAAATAAGACATAATAGTGTTCTTATTTTAAGACAGCATAACATTCTTACTCGGTCATTTCTTTTATACTACGTATAAGATTGTAGGTTTATATCAATCAATCATCATTTACCCCAGTGCCGCAAAAGCTCCCACCTACGGTGGGGTAAGGGGGGTCAGATGTACGCAGTCTTACCCATGTACTCAGGGGCGGATCTAGCATTGTCATTCAGGTGGGGCCAAATTTTAATTAAATAACGCGTATTGCAAAAAAAAAAATGACAAAATGTAGTAAAATACTACCTCCGTCCCTTAAAAATTTGTCATGTTTGATGTTACGGAGATTAATAAAATAAACACTGTATGGTAGAGATTTGTGCAGAGGAACGAGAATTAACTGGAACCACAAATTCTGTACTTAAAAGGGAAAGTGGTAAAGTTAGATGGACATCCAAAAAAGGAAAGTTGACAAAGTTTTAAGTGACGGAGGGAGTAGTAAAATAAAATATGTTGCAACTTCAATGTCAAAGAAAAATAAATATAATAGGTGTGGGACATAGAGATTTTAGAAGAAAAATGAAATTTTCACTCTATACCATTGTAAACTAAAAAATCATGCTCTACATGATCTTCGAGCTTGGGACATATAAGTTGGTGTGGGTCTCCTTCCATGTTGCAATCACAACATCTGTGTTCAAATTGACATTCTTTTTAATTATATCATTACTTAACAACAATATATATAATATAACACCTATATATACTAGTAATTTTATTTTTTTTGAGTGTGGGCCTAGGCCCGCCCTGGCCTAGGCCTAGATCTGCCCCTGCATGTACTAAAGCACAGAGACTGTTTCCGGATGAACCATAATGAAAATCGCGTCTAAAATTGCATGGACTAGCTGCTGCTTCATAACAAAGAAGAGCAGACAGTTTCGTGAGCCATTTTGCTTTATTCCATCATATTCTCAATCCAAAAAAATAAAGAATCTTTGGCTCCATTGAAAATGATGGAAATTGTAGGTTTATAGATCATTAAAAATTTAACCTTTCAATAATATATATAAGTGTGTGTGCAATATAATTGTGAATATATAAGTACAAAGAATTCAAAATAATTTTGGCGTTAGAAAGTAATACTTCTTTCGTCCCGCTAAAATTGTCACATCTTTCATTTTCGATCCGTCCCAGTAAGAATTTCACGTAATGAATTTGATAAAAAATTGTACTACCTCCGTTCCGGTGGACTTTGCCAAGTGCAAAGTAGGTGAGAAATATAAATAGTCAAAAGTGGGTGGTTGAGATTTGTGCAGAAGAGGAAGAATATTCAGAACCACAAATTAGTTACTTTAATGAGAAAGTGACAAAGTTTTTTGGGACAAACAAAAAGGAAAAGTTGGCAAAGTCAATGGAACGGGGGAGTATGATTCTAAATCATTTATATTTTATTTTTAATAAGGCATATCTCATCATATTGTAATAGGCTTAATGCACCAAACCCCAAACAAGGATTACGCGTTTATGAACTACGGGATAACATTCTTCGCACTTTTAAAATACGCCGTTGGATCCTCTGGTTTTTCCTTGGCCTCGAAGAATGATTGCATATTTACATTACACACTATACACACGCACGATAATATATATAGACCAAATTACAGAGGCTTTTCATAGCCTAGACACCTGAATAAATCTTATTCTATATCTCCAACTATTTCTTGCTATCTCCAGATAAAAAAAATAATAAAAAAATGAAGAAGGTATGTACCATAATCTGTTCTTAGCCTAATTCTGTATGATGACCGTAATCTTCTTTCAATAATTATTTCTTGATGGGTTGATTTATTAATTTGCAGCAAAAGGTAGTAATTAGCACTACTATGAGCGATGAGAAGGCTCGAATCAAGGCTCACACGATTGCCGTTAGCCAGCCAGGTACTTAGCCAATCAAGGGAGAATCCACATTAGATTATAGTGAAATAAAGTTTAGAGTAATTTACTAATTACCTTACAAATTTTCTTTCGTCTATTTTAGGATAATCTTCCATTTCCTCTTTTGTCAAAGAATTTGTGTTCACAGCGTTTTTTACACCACATAATATGTACAACTCTTCGCCAAATAATAGTCATTATCTTCATCGCCATGCCAAATCTATTATACTATTACGGTCTTACAACTTCATTGATACATGTGTAGCATATATATGTACCATATCATGTTTTCAAAATTTCTCCTATTTAGGAGTTGTTTCCGCGTCTGTGGATCAACAAAGGGGGCGGATAGAAGTGATCGGCGAGTTTGACGCGGTGGCCATGGCCATCGCGCTACGGAAGAAACTTGGCCATGCCGATATACTCATGGTGGCTCACGTCGTTGAGAAAAAGGAAGAAAAGAAGGATGAGAAAAAGGAAGAAAAGAAGGATGAGAAGAAGGAAGAAAAGAAAGATGAGAAGAAAGAAGAGAAAAAGAATGAAAAGAAGGAAGTCAAACAGGTAGAAAAGAAAAAAGATGAGACGCCAGAACCTCAAATTGTGACAGCCGCTCATTATAATCACCACTATTACACTTATCCAGTCAATGATTATGATCGTGGAGCAGGATGCACATTGTTTTAATTTTAGAGCAATGCTGGGTGTACCCCAAATTTGTACACAAAGTGTACACCGCCTGTGTACACAGGCATTTTGACGGCAAATTTTGCCACTTTTCAAACGAATTGTCTGTGCACATATGCAATTCAGGGTGGGTACAAATTGGGGTACCTATAGTATTTGTGTTAATTTTAATCCAATTCGACGAGTTGATATGAATTAATAATCGCGATCATATATTAATTTGGTCAATCTTATTTATATTCCATATATTATATGCAAAAAGAGAAGTTTGCAAGAACTTATATACTTTATTGTTTTCTTGTAATATTTATCGTTTGTTGATGCTGGATTGTTGCCCTGATTAGTAATTCGTTGGAGGTTGAATTGGCCACAATTCCACGCAAATGTTCTTTGATGTCAAGAGGTGAAAACACAACAAAAAAAGTTGAAGACAATTGAAGCTAAGGCCGGGGAAGTTGATAATAATGATGCTAGGATACCTAGGCAGGGTGTTTGAATTTAGTGGAACAATCAGAATAAGAGGTTTAATTTTGTTACATTGATCATGTCATCCTTTATTTAAATTATGCTACATCCACCCCTATTTAAGTGGTCAAGAGTTCATGAGTCTTTTCTTTTTTCTACTCCGTATAATTTTACACATAGTTTTACTACTTGATTACTCTTTTATGCCTTAGTTTAAATAGAGGAGGATGTAGTTAAATTATACTACATCCACCCCTAGTGTAGTTTAAGTAGTTGTTCCATTTTTCAATACAATTTATTCAATAGTCTGATTTTACATATTGAACTTTTTATCATGTTGCATTATTCAAAACCAAATGAATTTGGCCCTAAATTATTGTGAATTGACACATTTTTGTCAAGAAACTGTGATAAGTTTGTGTGGAAACTGTTTTTTCACAAATTTTGGCTCAAATTTTACAAGGATCTACTAATCCGTGCAAAATCCTTGATAAAACTAAGGAAAAGTTGATAGTAATAATCCTAACTATTGATGGTCCGCCTATAATAATCCCACCTATCGATTATTTCAAAATAATCCCAACTTTAGGGACCATCCGCCAATAATGGTCCCTATAAATAAATTCTCGTAGTTTCTAAAGTGGATGAGAAGAGATATAACAAGTAATCCCTATAAATAATCCTATTTTTTAATTCTACGCTTAATTTCTATTTAAAATTCACTTTTTATAGGAGGTAATATCTGGTCATGGACCATTATTGGCGGATGGTCCACATAGTTAGAATTATACAAAAATAATCAATAGTTGGGATTATTATCGGCAGACCGCAATAGTTGGGATTATTATTTTCAATTTTTCCTAAAACTAATTGCAATTAGTAAGAAAAACAATGAATGTATCATGTGTATGGATTTTTACTCAAGATAAGAGTTTTCAATTCAATCTTTAAAGGTCATTTCGCATACTAGCAAAAAGATTATCAATGTCACTTCTCAAAGAAACCGTAGTGGCAATATCAATAACATATCTAATAGCAAGGAGTCGGTCAATTGGTTTAATAAGATCTTGAGGGTAAACATGGTATCGTAGTACATTTTAGTGTGTCTTGACCCAAGTTTCAAATTGTGCTGATAGAGTATGACTCTGGACCCCACGATGCACATACTCATAGAGACACACTACAAGACATTGGCATACTCCTCAGCTGGTCTCCCTTAGCCAGACGAGTCCACCTCCACAAATGGAACCCAGAAGATGAAGATCAGAGAAATGGAACACAAATGTCCATCTCAGCTAGGTCCCCTCGTCCTGGCCATCTCGGTCAAGATCTCTAGCAAGCAGTTTCCACTGCACTTAGCATAATAAACTCGTGTACGTAATCAGCCTATTAGCGGCTCATTATTGTAATCAGACCTCCTAAACCCAAGACTTGAGAGTCCAGCCAACATTTCCTCTTTAAATATTCTTTTGGTGGTAGTAGTAGGGGTTGAAAAATATTGAATACAAAAGACTTTCTCTTCGTAGTTCTTACTTCTCTAGATCACGGTAATTAATATGGTATCATAGTACGTTGTAGTCATGTTCATTTGCTCTGTTGGCCGTAAGGAAGTCGATCTTTAGTGGCACATATGTCTTTAAGACTTTAATTAGCTAAGGTAGGTTTTTACTTGGATGTGTAGCATCAACGATTGGCCGGCATCTATTTAACCTGGTTATTTGAAAATCCGGCCAAAGAGGTTGTCGTCTTTTGAGAATGTTTTAATTGGACTGGTCGATCATACTCGAATAAATAAGATCAAATTAAACAAAGCTAGTTTTGACCAATTAGACCAGAGAAATTGCTCTTCATTAAACATTGTGCTAATAGTTGGCACAAACAAGGGTTCCGTACTAAGAGCATCTTTAATGGGAACGTGGATTGTACCTTCTAAAAAATGGACATGTCACGGCAACTTGCTTACAAATCAGACTTGGTCTTGTAATTGGGGCATGATTTCACTCCCATGGATATTATGTCTAAATTTAACGCCAGTTGCTTTTTCTCGCAAAGGCAATTAAAGATTTGCTTCATCAGTATTTGAGAGTTAATTTAAATGATGGACACCAACCACAAGTCTGATAAAACATCCACTGCTGCCAGTTTTCCATAAATGCCAGTTTTATTTTTTTATTTTCATAAAAGGTCTCTAAGAAAGACATGTTGTACAAACTGGACAAGCAATCGACCCGACCAAGTGACCAGGCCTTGCGTCAATCCGGATCTGGTTGGTCAGCACTGCAACAATTGTTGATCCCATTTACATTGACTTAACAATAAAAAGATGTGCTACTAACAAAAGCTTTCAAAAGTAGGCTAGAAGAGAGAAGAAAGACAGAGAGGGCCAATGTCTGATTCATGATTTAGCTATTGTGATACCAACAACATAAAATGATTTAGTCTTTAATGAATCAGTGTAGAATAAAAAAGCAGAAAGTAAGTTCAATCAACATTCAACAGAGTACTAATTCTCCAAACAAACACATCTAGAAGTAAACACGGCCGTAGTCGTCTCCTCCAAACTGATCAAAGCCAATTCCTCCTATTCCTTTCAACACCAAAGAGGCTGCATCAATATGCTTAACTTCAGCATTTGGCAAACCCAACTTGAAAGCAATGTCTCTTGATAATGGTCACCTTAGGAGCCAGTTCATTTATACGCAGACTTAGGAGCCAGTTTTCTATCCATAACACGTTAACACTTAGACGCTAACGTTAGCACACTTAGACGCTAACGTTAGCACTGGTAGGCGCTAACGTGTCATATCCATCACACTTCTTAAGGCTTTCCCTTTTTTCACCTGAATAGATCAAAATAGGAGAGAAGGCTTGAAATTTCACCACGGATATTGTCGACCTACAGTTTGCACAATGATAATGTACTTATAATAGGAAAATAAGAACATTCAAAAAAACCAAATATGAATACATGAATACCTCTTCAATTGTTCAATCGAAAACTTTAAATGATTTTTTAGTTTGCAATGTTAATCAAGCAGTGACATCTTGAGTCTCCAACTCTCCATTTATGCAAAAAGAACCAACTTTAACATTAAGTAGCAACTCAAGTAAAATTTAAACTTTAATTTTACTTTGTACTTAAATTGATACACCCAACAAAATGAATTAGAAGCATATAAATGTTATACTTTCAGTATATGACAATTGCTAAAAAAAATATTGTAAGAAGGGGCTAAATAAAAAAAACATTAACTAGTACTAAAAAATCTGGGAGGGGGCCAAGGCCCCCTTGACCATAAACGTTCTGCACCCCTGAGTGCAAGCCTTTTGGGATATGGCCAATCAAAAGAGTTCATGAGTAGACTAGGCATTTCATCAAACAGAAAGCGTGCAAATAGTACAATTTCAAAAAACAGAAGCTAATACCCCAAATGGAACCTTTAAGTGATCATTCCACAATGAATAGTTGAATACCGCAAAGCTAATGCAGCAAAGACTAAAGAAAGGTCTTTCGTATAAAACATATGCAGAGGAGAGGTTAAAAATATGTTTATTAAATACAGATTGAAATACAAAGTATTGGAAAGTGGTTAATATTAAATAGGAGATCATTTGCTATTTATCAAGTATAGAGAAGGCAGGTAAAATAAAACTTTTGCCTGGGAGATGAGGAGATGCGGATAGAGAGAGGAAGGAAACTGAAAATGGGGACATGTGTGCACAAACCCAGAAACGAAAGCACAAAATTTTAGCAAAAAAAAAAAATATCAGTCATAAGTCATTCGAGGTAGAGTTTAGAGAAATACCCAGAAGACTTCCGAGTGATGAGCGAAGAGCAGCAGACTAGGGGCGAAGAGCAGCAGCAGCAGATGTGAATAGTAGCAAGGAAGAAGTAAGCGTGGGTGATTTGTTCGAAGAGCCTCTTTGTTGCTTCAGTTTTGAGATTTGGGCGGAAATATTTTCAATTGCAGCCAGTCCTTTTTTAGTAGCCCGGGAGATAATATTTTCAAAAATGATGTTTGTACCCACTCTTCTACCCACTTTTGTACTCACCTATGTTTGTGAAGTGTTATTTTTGTCTGTGAACCCCGATTCACAGACAATATTTTGCACAAACAAAATATTGTCTGTGAACCGGGTTCACAGACAAAAAAAATATTTCACAAACATGGTGGGTATAAGGTGGGTATAAGAGTGAGTACATCAAGCATTGCTGAGTCAGAGTTGTTGAGAGCCTTGCTGAAAGTAGAAAGGGCGATAGAGGGCGTACGTTTTTACTCGGTCCAGCTCAGCCGCACACATTAAATCCACATTCCCATTGTAGCAAGTAAATTAATCACAAAATCTATTTATTTGAGGTGGCAATCCATTTTTGAGCAATTCATTACACTTTTTATACCCACCTATACACTACTTGTTGTTGAATAGAGTAATTTTTTGTCCGTGAATAGTCTGCTCTCAAACAAAACATATTCTCCAACATCGGTAAACATATTTTATCTGTGAACAAGGTATTGATACACAAAAAATAGCATGTTCACCAATGAGTATAGAGGTGGATATATACAAATAAAGTGCATTAGGGATCTTGCCACATTGGTGGTCGCATATGGCATTAGTATTAACCTTGTCGAGGTTACCTGGAAGTCAAAGCTCAAAGCTCAGTTCCCAAGCCCCAACGAGTATTCATCTTTTATGGGCGATTTTTCAACTGCTACCGGAATTGCAACTTTTACGATGATGTTGTTAAGCCAATGGGTGTTTGACAAATATGGTTGGGGAGTGGCTGCAAAGATAACACCAACAGTCTTGCTCCTTACCGGATTTGGGTTCTTCTCCTTGATTCTGTTTGGAGGCCCGCTTGTTCCTACTCTTGCAAAATTTGGCATGACTCCTCTTCTAGCAGCTGTCTATGTGGGTGCCTTGCAGAACATCTTCAGTAAGAGTGCAAAGTACAGCTTGTTTGATCCTTGCAAGGAAATGGCATACATTCCTTTAGATGAGGACACAAAGGTGAAAGGCAAAGCAGCAATTGACGTGGTTTGCAATCCATTGGGGAAATCAGGTGGAGCTTTGATACAGCAATTCATGATACTCACGTTTGGTTCGCTTGCGAACTCAACTCCGTACCTGGGAGGTGTTCTCCTTGTCATCGTTCTTGCATGGCTGTCAGCGGCCAAGTCTCTGGATGGGCAGTTCACTGAGTTGCGGCGAGAAGAAGAGCTTGAAAAGGCATTGGAAAAGGCAGTAGAAGCTTTGAAAATCCCTGCTGTGTCTCTCGGTGGAAATGGAAACGGCTCTCTTTCTAGCAGTGGCTCATCACTGAGCAACAACCCCGCCATTGGGAGCGATTCTACCAGTGCTTCTTCTGAACCCTCCTCCAAGAGCGCGTGATTGTGCACTTCTTACATTTGTTTCTCAGGATCTTAATTAGGAGTTAGGAATAATAATGCAATGGGTTGGTTGTGCTCAACTTGGAAACTCCATTGTTTGTCTTTTTATTTAACAAATAGGAAATTTGTTTTATTAGAAATTACTTCAAATAGGACTAAAACTATGGCAAAAACTCAAAATAGGACTTGCTATGTTTTTTATTCCAAAATAGGACCATAGTGGTCCTATTGGAAACATACTCATTTCTTCCTTCCATTCTTACCCCTTCTTTAAATATTAGTAAAAGATAGCTAAAAGTCATAATTAAATGTTTAATTCATAATAAATTCGAAAAAATTTCAATAATTCGTAGAAAAATAATAAAAAAATTAACAAAATTTTTATAAAATAAAAAATAAGAATTTTTTTTTTAATTTTTTTTTTTGAAAATTAATAAAAAATAGTAAAACTCCATTAAAAAAATTAAAAAAAATATGGATACCTTTCCCACCGCCTTTACTACCTCCCTGAACCACCACCTCCAATCGGTGTAAAAAATGCCACTTTTTTTTTAAAATTCCACAAAATTGGCATATTTCTCTATGAGAATGCCAACATTTTCATTCTGCCAACTTGAATCCTTTTGACTTTTGCCAAAAATATGGCATTCATAATTTTTTTGGCATTTTTTTACCCCGGTGACAGGAGGTGGTGGTACCGCCTCCCTGCACCACCACCTTCGACCGTTAAAAAAAATGTCATATTTCCTACAAACTTCCATTTTTTTCGGAAAATGCCAAAAATATGGCATATTTCTCTTTGAGAATGCCAACATTTTTTTCTTCCATCTTAAATCATTCTGGACTATGCCAAAAATATGGAATTCATAATAAATTTGGCATTTTTTCCCCAAATGACTAGAGGTGGTGGTGCTGGGGCGGCAGAGGCGGCGGTGACAAAAAAAATATTTTTTTGATTTTTTTTTAATTTTTTTTAATTTTTTTTATTTTATTTTTTTTTAAATTTTTTTTTATTATTCAAAATATTTTTATTAATTTTTTGGTATATTTTACGAATTTTTATTATTTTTTATTATTTTATTATGAATTAAAACATTCCAATAGGTATAAGGGTATATTTGTCCAAGACACACATAATTAGTCTTATGGAAACATAGTTTACTTTTTGGTCCTATTTGTGCAAAATGAATGACTTTTAGTCCTATTTTGATAATTAACTCTTGTTTTATCAGTAGATATAATGTGTAGTTCGAAAGGGCAGCTTGGGCAGGTATGCATGAATTCATTTGAGTTCCAACTATTTTCAGATTACTAAATATATATATATATATATATATATATATATATATATTAATATATATATATATATACACAAATAAAGTGATTACAAATCTTTTTTCCTTTAAAGGATGGATATGTACCAACATCGGTTTTTTGTAGTCTACTTTGACTCATTGTAACATTATTTATTGGTATCATTGTTAAAAAAAATTAGAGTTTCGTCCACTATTCACTAATGATACTCAATTTCTTCCGTGTAAAAATATCAATCATCGATGATTGCCGCTTTGTGATTAATCATCTCAAGAAGTTTAAAATACTCCGTATGTGATTAGCCGCTTTGACATCATTTTATCAATGACTAGTCAAATTCAGGCATTAGTTTATGGTCTCAAAATTATTGATGTCATATCATATCATTGAGAAACGACATATTAGAATTTATGTTACGTACGGAGTAAACTTTTAACAATGTGTACGTACCCTTCCAGAAAGTAAAAAAATAAAACGTAATCAACTAGTAAAAATATTATTCAGCATTCGTCAGTGACCAATTAACTTATTAATGAATAAATAAAAATATCGAATTCCAAATTATATCCCGTGGTGATCGGGCATAGTTCAACTCCATAAAATTAAATAAATTCCACAGAAACTAAGTTATAGCCAACTATCCGAGCCTTCAATTGTCTTTGAATTGGCTCGATCTTGACATTATTATTAAATGAAGGAAATTAAAAGCTTCAAGACCAGTGCAGGAATATAATTACAATATCATCGCTCACCCTGCTGCATATTCATAATGATCAACTGGATAAGCATAGTAATAGGGAGGTGGTGGCCGAAAACCAGAAGGATCATAAGTGACCATCATACTTTGGGGTTTTGGCTGTTCATCCTCCTTTTTCTTTTCTTTTTTCTTTTCTTCCTTCTTTTCTTCCTTCTTTTCTTCCTTTTTCTCAACTATGTCCGCCACCGTCAATATATCAGCGTGGCCAAGTTTCTTCCGTAACTCGATCGTCAGTACCACCACGTCAAACTCGCCGACCACCTCTATCAGCCCCTTCTCTTGTTCCACCGAAGCAGAAACAACTCCTAAAAGCAAAATAAAGGACACATTTAGGATATATTCGTCGTGTGCGTCTATATATTATAGGAAATTTATGTATATGTAACTAAAATATTCCTAGACTTCTAATATATGACTAGCAAACGTGAATTGAAGGGAGAAAAAGTAGCATTATATTAACACACATTGGAGTACCATTTATGATCGAGCTACATATGTATATATATATATACCTGATTGGCGAACGGCAATCATGTGTGCTTTGATTCGAGCTTTCTCATCCCTCATCGTGACACTAATCACTGCCTTTTGCTGCCAAAATACCCAAAAAACGTTCATCAATTTATCTGTACGGCCGAAAAATAGAGAGCATTATTGTAAATTATCTTTAATATAATGATACTTATTCTAACTAGTGGGAAAACATCGATTTGCAACACAACATTAAAAATTTGCACCAGGTTCCACTGTGGCAGTCAAAACGTCGCGGGTGGAGCTTTAACACCGCCACAAATTGGGGTTTTTCTACTAGTGTCTACTTCTAACTAACACACAGCAAGAAGGATGATACATACCTTTACCATTATCTGTTTGATCAATGGGTTGCTTAAGGAAAGCTAGGAGAGTTGGCTTAGCTTAGCTTTGAAGATAAATGAATAAGGCCTAGCCTTAGGCTAGCTTCAATTTGGTTGATCTATTTATACACTTGATATGGGAGTGTGGGAGTATTTTGGAAGGCTAGGAATGAAAGTGGATCAATTGTACGAACGGACGCAAGCACGTAAAGTGGTCAGTCAGTTTCCAGGCTAAGCAAAAAAAGGAGAGGTTCTTTTCCCTTTCTTTCTTTGGAAGTTCCAAGAAAGTAGTCAATCAATTGGTCAAGTTTTAATACGTGTCCAGATGGTATTGGTCAAGTACCTCATAATAATTCTTATAAGTGGAATACACTAACTTGGGTATCTAAAACCGGCATTTGGCCAAAGGAGGGGTATCTTCTTTTGTCACCCTTTTCCTGCGTACGTTCAAATATCACAAATTCAGAATGCCTTGCATAGCAAGCAATTGGGCTTCCTCTTTTTTATTCTGGTATGAGATTCACTCTCAACTTGTAATGAGTAAAGTGTCCTTGACTCCTTTCTAATATTGGTAAGATGGAGCGAAAAATAAAGATGAGTTATCAATCTTAGTAGGACGGGAGTAATAACAATTACCGCCACCAATAGTATCTACGTCCCCCGATGTGGTGGTTAAAGATAACCTTGTCCTTGGTATAGAACTAATAAAGTATTATTAAAATGATAATATTGAATTATGGGAAAATAACTTTAAATAATATCAATTATCACTTATCAACCAATAATAATTTAATACATACTTTAAAAATGATTTTAAATAATATAATACCAACTAACCTAAACTTTGTATGTGTAGTAACAATTTCTTTTGCTTAGCACACTCCACCTCTGAATCTCATACAAGCATTATGTTCAAAAAGAAAAATTAATCCGCGTACAATAGGCAATAGCTTGCTATTAAACCGTGTTATTTGAACGTATATGGGAGAAATGATGAGGGGGGAAAGTGAGCTACTTAAGCCAAATGCCAGTTTTAAATACGAACTAAGTTAAATTAAAGTGTAAACATCCGTTCATACGTACGAATTGTTAAAAGGTACCAATTATAGTTTTTGGCCCGGATACGAATTATATAAATCTTGATTAATTGATTGACTAGCTTTATTGGCACTTCAATTCGAAAGACCCTCTAGCTTCTTTATTGCTTGAACTATTTTATGGAGTATTAATTTAAGGCCTGGCGGAATGTGCATAATAATTAAACGACGTACGTAGGAGAATGAGGAAACTACAAGATTTAGATTTATAATCTCGTTAAATTAAAATTTAGAAAAATTACTTATGTGACTGAATTGACTGAAGTTACTACTGATATAGAATATGATGATAGCTACCGTTAAATTGCTAGCTAGTGAAATTGTAAAGAGGGTAGAACTACAAGTTAGAGAGGGAAAGATATCTAGTAGTAATGATCTTTAGAACCCTTTACACGGTTACCAAAATGGTCATTGTTCGCATGTTTTTAGCTGTTGCTGCTGCTAAAAACTGGGAATTACATCAAATGGACGTCCATAATGCCTTTCTTCACGGGGACTTGGATGAAGAGGTCTATATGAAACCGCCTCCCGGATTTCTTCCTTCTCGGCCTGGGCAGGTGTGTCGACTGAAGAAGTCGTTATATGGCTTACGTCAGGCCCCACGATGCTGGTTTGCTAAGTTAACTACTTCTTTGAAGCAATATGGCTTTCAACAATCTTATTCTGATTATTCCGTTTTCACTATGAATCGGGGATCGGTTGAGTTATATATCCTCATTTATGTTGAAGATTTAATTATTGCGGGAAACGATTGTGGTGATATTTCTCTTTTTAAATCTTATTTGCATAAATGCTTCCATATGAAAGACCTCAGTCTTCTCAAGTATTTTCTTGGAATTAAAGTGGCTCGAAGCGCTGATGGTCTTTTCCTATGTCAGCGTAAATATACTTTGGATATTATTTCTGAGGCAGGTCTTCTTGGGGCGAAACCTACAACCTTTCCTATTGAACAAAACCATGGTTTGGCTCTCTCTCAGAGCGAGTTTCTGGCCGATCCGGAATCATATAGACGTCTTGTTGGGCGTTTTCTTTATCTCTCTTTTACTCGTCCAGATCTAGCTTATGCCATCCATATTTTATCTCAGTTTATGCAGGCTCCTCGACAGGATCATTGGATGGCAGCCTTGCGCGTAGTTCGCTACCTCAAAGGCACCCCAAGCCAGGGTATTCTTCTTAGTTCTACGTGTGATTTGACTCTTACGGGCTGGTGTGATTCAGACTGGGCCAGCTGTCCCCTTACTTGACGCTCTCTTACAGGGTGACTCTCCTATCTCGTGGAAGACCAAGAAGCAACATACTGTTTCTCGTTCCTCGACCGAGGCCGAGTATAGGTCCATGGCGGCCACCACAGCAGAATTAAAATGGGCTAAGGGTCTTCTCCTTAGCCTCGGCATTGATCATTCACGCTCTATGACTTTATATTGTGATAGTCGTTCCGCTTTACATATTGCTCATAATAATGTTTTTCATGAGCGTACTAAACACATTGAGGTTGATTGTCACTATGATTGTGATGCTATTCAAGCTAGACTGCTAGTTGTTTGTCATGTATCTACCACCGATCAACTAGCTCACATCTTTACTAAAGCCTTGGGCAAGCGTCAGTTTCTTTATCTCCTTAGCAAGTTGGGCATTTTTGAACCTCATGCTCCAACTTGGGGGTGGTGGTGGTGGTGGTGTTAGCGGGTTTAGATAATTAAGGGCCTAGCCCATTGTAATTAGTTGTATCTTATTGTATTTTAATTATGGGTTAAGGGCTTTCTTTGTACGTATCTTCTTGTATATATATTACCTCCAACAATGATTAATGGAATAAGGGATTTCACCCTAATACTTTTACACATACATACGGCTACAGTAGTTTATAACAACGTACGGCTATAGTAGTTTATAACAGTCCAAATACAGGAAAAAGGCCCTCTTTTGTTCTTGGCCTGGAAGACAACTAATCATATTACTTGCCTATTACTATATATCTCCTTTAATTTCTAGCATACCCACACATGTATATATACATCAACCAAATTGCAGTACTGCAGTGAAGGACTCATAAACACTCATTTATCTTCATAGCCAAGTCTTGCAGTCTCTAGCTAGCTAGCTTGCTAGTTCCTACGATCTCTTAACCAACACCTTCTATCCACTATTGCATCTGTCTACATTATATCATACGTTTACACTCCAAATTAATTAAAAGCGATCCATAAATGGGGAAGGTATGTATAATAATCTCGATCTTCTTACTCTCTGATCTCATGATTTTAAGTTGCGGTCGTCGTTTTTGTCAAGAACTTCAATTGTTTCCAAGTAGTTTTTGACATCTCATAATGAAGACTGTGATAATTGTGTGATTCAAATAAGTGTGTAAAGGTTTGTGTGACTGTATTGCTATAAATAGCAAATGTACATGTATGTGGTGATACACCTCAGTTAATAAAAATTCCTCTCCTTTGTTCAGTTAGTTAAGCGGTTAAACCTATCAATTGGTATCAGAGCTTCTAATTCCACCACACCTGAAAAAATAATCACCGCCAATGGTGATAATCGCGATTGATTGTGGAGGAATGTCAAATTCAACTGGATTGTTTGGTTCTTTGTCAGTTCTTGATGCGAAGAACTGGGACATGTGGTCTATCCAGATGAAGGTTGTCTTCGGATACCAGGAGGTGTTGGATGTGATCGAGGATGGATTTCCAGTTCTAGGTCAAAATCCAACTGAGGCAGAAAGGAGAGAGCATCGCAAGGAGAAGAAGAATGATTGTAAGTCCTTGTTTCTACTGCACCAGTCTGTAGATGATGTTCACTTATAGAAAATTTCCATGGCAAAGACCTCTCAAGAAACCTGGAAGATTCTGGAGGAATGTCATGCCGGTGGAGAAAAGGTAAAAAAAAAGTTTGTTAGCAGACTCTTAAACGTCAATTTGAATTGCTGAAGATGTTAGAGTCTGAAACGATAGCTGCTTACTTCAATCGTGTTGTGTCAGTTGCTAATGCTATGAAGAGATGTGATTATGATGTGAAAACGTCTCAAATTAATGAGAAAATGATGAGAACTTTGCTGAAAAAGTTTGATTACATTGTGTGCGCGGTTGAAGAGTCAAAAGATGTTTCTACCATGACATAGATGGCCTGCAGAGTACTCTTGAAGTTTATGAACAGAAGATGATGGAAAGAGATACTGAGGATCTGAATGAACAGGTTCTTCTTGCTCAAAACTTTAAGAAACCTGTCTCCAAGGGTGGAGATCATAAAGGAAAGGGAAAGGCCAGGATAAAGAAAGATGGTGCAGAGAAGTCAGAACACAAGAAGCATGGAATCAAGAAAAAGAAGTTTGACAAGAAGAAAATCCAGTCTTATAACTGCAAGAAGTGGGGACATTTTCAAGATGAATGCTGGTTTGGTGAAGGCAAGGATAAGATACCAAAGAACTGGAATAAGGAGGAAGAGGCTTTTGCTGCAGAAGAAAATTCAGGTGGAGAAGAATCAGTTGTGCTGATGACTACTACATGTGAGGAACCTGAATCTAGTGAGGCTGGTGATGCTTGGTATCTAGATATAGAATGTAGTAATCATATGGCTGGACATAAATCTTGGTTGGTAAACTTAAGAAGTGAGAGAAGATGTAGTGTAAAGTTTGCTGACCTTAGTACAATACAGGTGGAAGGTGTTGGTGATGTAATGTTGACTGGTAAGAGTGGTAAGAATGTAATTCTTTAAGAAGTGTTATATGTCCCTGAGATGAAGTGTAATCTGTTGAGTTTGGGCCAATTACTAGAGAAGGGGTTCAAAACCATTCTGAAGAAAAGTCATCTAGAGTTGTATGGTCCTTATAAGACTCTTTTGTTGAAGGTTCCTTTGTCCATAAATAGGACCTTCAAGGCCAGGATAAAATCTTCTGAGGTTCAGAGTCTTAAAACAACAATAGCAGATGATGATACCTTGTCGTGGCATGCTAGGTTTGGACATCTTAACTTCAGAAGTCTGCAGCAATTACATGAAAAATGTATGGTGATTGGAATTCCTCACATCCCAGTGCCTACAACAGTATGTGGTGAATGTGCTGTAGGAAAGCTACATAGAGAACCCTACAAGCATCAAGTTCCTACTAGATCAACTAAAGTGCTGGATACAGTATTCTCAGATGTATGTGGTCCATTTGAGCAACCTACACTTGGAGGTAACAAATACTCCCTCCGTCCCTAAATGTTGTTCCAATTGCGGATTACGAAGGTTGACCGATGATAAAGTTAAATGATCCCTGTGAAAACTCGGATTATTTTTAGTAAATAAAATTTACATATTCAGAAACTACATTAAACCCACTACACAGCCTGCAAAAAATAATTCAACTTTTATAAAACTTTGATATAAAAAATAAGAGTTTAAGAGTGATTTAAGTTGACCCTCGATAAGCGAAATGGAACTTCCTTTAGGGACGGAGGGAGTATTTTGTTACATTTGTAGATGATTTTAGAAGGATGGTGTGGATTTACATGATTAAATTCAAGAGTGAAGTATTGAGCACATTTGTGAAGTTCAAGAAACTAGTTGAAAAGCAAAGTGAATGGAATTAAGTTTCTTAGAACTGATGGAGGTGGTGAATATACTTGAGATGAGTTTACTAAGTTTTGTGCTGACAATGGTATAACTCATGAGGTTACATCTCCCTATACTCCTCAGCATAATGGAGTTTCTAAAAGGAGGAATAGGACAATTGTAGAGATGACGAGGTGCATGCTTAAAGATAAGCAACTGCCAAAATTCTTATGGGGAGAGGCTGTTAGCACTGTTGTGTACATTCTGAACCAGTGTCCTACTAAAAAACTGGAGGGAGAGGTGTCAGAACAAGTGTGGTCTAGTGTGAAGCCTAGTGTGAGACATTTGAGAGTGTTTGGCTGCCTGTGTTATAAGCACATACCAGATCAAAAGAGAAGAAAATTAGATGACAAAGGTGTTCCAATGGTGCTAGTCGGTTATCACATAGCAGGTTCATACAAATTGTATGATCCTGTAAACAAGGTGTTTGCATTTAGCAAAGATGTAGTGTTTGAGGAGACACAAGGATGGGATTGGGGCTCATCTGGGAGAAACACTAGACAAGTATCTAACCTATTTGAAGTTGAGGAGGACTTCAGTTGTGAGAATTCTGGTGATATGAACCATGGTGATCAATCTCAACAACTAAATCATAGACCTCAAAGAACCAGACAGTCATCAAGGAGGCTTAGTGGGTATGAAGTGTATGATGATACTGAAATTAATGAAGATGGAGAGCTATTGCACTTTGCACTTCTTGCTGACTGTGAGTCTCTTGATTGGAAGGAGGCTCTAACTAAAAGGGAGTGGAAAGCAGCTATGGAAGAAGAAATTAAATCAATAGAGAAAAAACCACCTGGGAACTCACATCACTGCCATCCAACAAGAAGCCAATTAGTGTTAAGTGGGTTTTTAAAGCCAGGTACAAGCCAGATGGTACAATCTTCAAACATAAGGCCAGATTAGTAGTCAGAGGGTTCATACAAAAGGAAGGACTTGATTACACAGAAGTTCTTGCTCCAGTGGCAAGGATAGAAACCATCAGGATGGTGGTTGCACTATCATATTACAGAGGGTGGAAAATGGCACAGTTTGATGTAAAATCTGCTTTTTTGAATGGTGAATTGGAAGAAGAAGTGTATGTGACTCAGCCTCCAGGGTTTGAGGTACAAGGTGCAGGTGATAAAGTTCTCAGGATCAGGAAGGCTTTATATGGCTTGAAACAAGCTCCTAAAGCTTGGAACAAGAAAATAAATGCATATTTACACAATATAGGTTTCAGAACCTGTGTAATTGAGCATGGTGTGTATGTCAAGAGGTCAAAATATGATATTGTAGTGATCTGCTTATATGTTGATGATTTATTGGTAGTAAGCAACACTGATGATCAGATTGAAACCTTCAAATTTCAGATGAAACAACAATTTTATATGACAGACTTGGGAAATTTGTCATACTTTCTGGGAATGGAGTTCAGTGTTGGAGCAGATGGAATCTTCATCCATCAGAAGAAGTATGTGATGGATATGCTTAAGAAGTTCCAAATGACTAATTGTAATCATGCAAATACTCCTATTGAGTCTAAGCTTAAACGGGGTGTTGTAGATCAGGAGAAGAAGGTTGATGCCGGTTTGTTTAGAAGGATGGTTGGTTCTCTAAGGTTTGTGTGCAATACCAGACATGATATCTCCTTCAGTGTGGGACTTATCAGTGGGTTTATGCAACAACCAAGGCAGCCACATCCTATTGCTGCAAAAAGTATACTAAGATACCTTAAAAGTACTAGTGAGTATGGGCTGTGGTATCCAAGAGAGGTGAAGTCTGAAGAGAAAGGTTTGCTAGGATTTTTTGACTCAGATTGGAAAGGTGTGGAAATTAAAGGAAGAGTACTACAGGCTATGTGTTCAAGCTGAGTGCAGCTATCATATCATGGAGCTCTAGGAAGCAACCTAAGGTGTCATTATCTACCTGTGAAGCAGAGTATGTAGCAGCAGCATATGGAGCATGCCAAAGAGTTTGGCTTAGTGCTTTACTAAGTGAGATTACTGGTGAAATATAGGAGGTGTTTCAATTATCTGTTGATTATAAGTCTGCCATAGACCTTGCTCAGAATCCAGTATGACATGGTAGGAGCAAACACATAGAACCTAATTACCACTGGGTAAGAGAGAAGGTTAATGAAGGGAAGCTGGTTCTTGTGTATTGCAGTACTGAAGATCAAATATTAGACATACTGACTAAAGCACTTCAGGTTGATGAGTTCAAGAGGTTTCGAGAAAAACTTGGAGTCAAGGCACAAATGTAAATCTGTTTTGTGTGGTGTTAAAGGGAATTTGAATTAAGGGAGAGTGATAATTGTGTAATTCAAATAAGTGTGTATGTGTGTAATAAAGGTGTGTGTGACAGTATTGCTATAAATAGAAAATGTACATGTATGTGGTGATACACCTCAGTTAATAAAAATTCCTCTCCTTTGTTCAGTTAGTTAAGCGGTTAAACCTATCAGACTAGTGGATTAATTAGTGGATGGTGCCCATGACAAAAACTTGGGGACTGAATTGGGAACAATATATATATATATATATATATATATATATATATATATATATATATATATATATATATATATATATATATATAGAGTAGTCTTCCGGTCAGGTATACCTGACCGGAGCCCCGTCCGGCCTCCTCCATTTGGGGGCCTTCCCGGTGGTATTTTTTGCTCAAATTTTTTGTGTAGGTTCCTCATCAAGTCTAGTTCATCCATACCAAATTTCAGCCAAAAATTCAATCGGGAAGGTCGTCAAATGATTTTTGCAAGTTAACTGGTCCGGAAAATACATATTCCGGACCAGTTAACTTGCAAAAATCATTTGACAACCTTCCCGATTGAATTTTTTTCTGAAATTTGGTATGGATGAACTAGACTTGATGAGGAACCTACACAAAAAATTTGAGCGAAAAATACCATCGGGAAGGCCCCCAAATGGAGGAGGCCGGACGGGGGGAGTGGTCCGGCCTGGCCGGACCTGAACTTTAGTGTATATATATATATATATATTTGAACCTCAGATTTAATTTTATAAATTAAGAAGCAGTTTTGTGTCACTGGCAAAATCAGATCACAGAACACAGAAACAGAAATAAACAAAAACAGAAATAAATCACTACTGCATTTAAAAGACGAGCAGGTGAGGTTTCATGCCGTCCTTGAGGGAGAACCTTGCTCCCAAATAAGTCTTCAAATCCGGCACTGCCTCAATGGCTTTGATCAATGCACCATCCACCTCCTTCTGGTCATCCTTCTTCTCTTGTGGTATCCCTTTCTTCTCCTCTTTTTCAGATTCAAAGAACTCTCCTTCAGTCTTCTTCTTCTTCTTCTTCTCAGCCTTCTTACCGAAGTACTTATCATCAATCTTGTCCACATTGACCCCAGAAATGTCTACCTTGGTCGAAGTCCCAATCACATACGCCTGATTCACGCGCCGCAGAGGAACACCGTTGATCTTGAACGGGCCGGTGATAAGGAGTAAACCGGAGGAGAGCTGCTTCAGGAACACCACTCTCTTTCCCTTGAATCTTCCGGCGAGGATGATCAGAATAGTCCCCGGAGTAATACTTGACCTGAGCTTTGTAGGCTTTGGCTTGTCTTTGTTGACGAGGGGCTTCTTCACATCGTCAGCAGGGTAGAACTTCGGCGGCTTCTCCGGCGCCGCAGGCTCGACGGGCTTCTTGTCGTGGCGAGGGAAAACGCCGCCGTTCTTCGCCTTGATAGCCCAAAGACCCCTCTTGTGGTACATTTGGGAGCGCGAGAACTTCCCAATTCCCCTGATCAGCTCATGGTTGCGCGAAGTGTTCTTGGGGGCCATTGCAATGGAGCTCGCAGTGTAGATGGGAAGGTCTTCTTCGGCTGATCAATTGGGAACAATATAATATATGATTCGTTATTGAATATTGTTTGTTTATTCGTTGAATGAAGTGATGAACTTTTCATTTCAATGATTTGAGTTCCATTTAACATTAATTTGTCACTAAAGAATACTCCATGTCTTACAAGTAAATTTCTGGTTTGACTTTTATTGTCTTTTAGGTGAAATTTTGACCTAAAATATCTAAAAATGTATACTTATAAGATCTACAAAAATTACCATTTGAGTAATATATTACTCAACGAAGCATATCAAATTAATTTTGTATTATAAAGTAATGTAAATTTTGACTAATTAATAGTTAATGGAGATAGTATATGCTTATTAAGTTGCCAAGTACTCTTGTGGATGACTTTTTGGGTTAATTTTATGCACACACATATAAATTATTGTAATATATTGTCAATATCACTATATTTTATTCGGAATTGTCATATATATGAGTAAATGAGTTTTATAATTCCCAAATAGGATTGCTATATTTTTTCTTCGTGAAATAAGAGTTGTTTTGCTCGTCTTACACATGTACGCACATTTAATTGTCATTTATTACTATCTTACACATGTACGCACATTTAATTCATTAATGTCATACACACTTCTCTCTCTATGTTACTAGTTCTGCCCTCTCTCTAGCTAGTTATCACTATTAAATTCAAACTAAACTATAGGGCTAAGACTTTGGAACCAATAACCACAGAATCGAATCGGATCGAATCATTATTACTCTGTTCGGTTCGGTTCCAACATTTATTATTTATTTGTTAATGGTTCGGTTCTTATTTCTTATTAATGGTTCGGTTCTCGGTTCTTAAAAAAAGTATGTACTTGGAACCATTAAAGAACCATTATATATAATAATTAAAATTTATATATTTCTTATTAGTTTATATATATATATATACTTATTTATTTTTATATAACACAATTTACACTAACTATTTTAGTTTAGTTATTTAAGTGTTTATAATATTATTTATTTTAATGGGTTCCTTTAAAGCACTTAGGCCTCTTATTAGAGACCTAGATAATCGGAATTGAGTGATGTGCTCGTGGCCCTTGAGATGAATGAAATTTTTTACATGCTAATTGCGTTGCTGATTCAAGATCATAATTATTAATTTTAGTGAATAGGTGTTTTGGTTTATTTAAAAAAAATAGTTTGGTATGTATTTAGGTTTTAAACTCAACTTTTGAAGTTTGAAATGATGGTGGACATATTTGTATTTTTTGTACTTTCAAACTTTGAATGTTTTTTTTGGCACAAATTGAATGATGATTTGTAAGAAATTTTAAAAAACTAGGAACCTTTAAATGACAAGAATCGGACCATCAAGAACGATTGGTTCCATATCAGTTCTATAAAAAGTATAAGAACAAAACTATGATTAAGATTTCATTATATTTTTCAAACGATTCCATCTATTTTGCCTAGGAACTGAACCAGACCCACACCTACTCAGTTATACATGATTCAATCTCGATTGATTTAAGAGTTGTTCTGTTCGTCTGATCTTATTTTTCTTGCTTATTCTTATTTCATTCAATATTATTACTACACCATATTGTTAATGTATTGTTATTAATATTTGTATATTATCATTACACAAATACAAGTTGGTATCTATAATTTAAGGAAAAAGGTTCAAATAAGCCTTTGTACTATTTCCAAACCGCCACCTAAGCCCTTGTACTAAAAAAAAGTATCATGTAAGTACACCTACTTTACAAAATGGACCAATTTGACCATTTAATCAGCTTTAGACCTGTAATAGCAGTTTTTTAATACTTAAAATTTATAAAAATTGTTACAATTTGAAGAAATACATACAAAAGTTGTGAAAATTTTCAAAATATCAGTCAAGATTTTTTAATTTATAAAAATATTTGTATATTTTACATCTATTTAAAAGGTTTTTAAAGTTTTAATTTTTTATTTTCACATTATTTTTTCAGTTTTATAATGTTTTTTATTTTTTTTTTTACTTTAATGTTTTTAAAATTTTATCTATTTTTATATTCATACTATTTTTTATTATTATTAGATTATATTTATTCAAATTTATATGACTTTTTGTAAGATTTATCAAAGTTCCTAATTTAATTTTTAAAAAATAACCTGCTATAGCAAGTCAAAAGGTTTGGTTGATTGTATTTTAAATATGATACTTTTTTTAGTGACAGATTACAAATAGTAGAAGGACTTATTTGACCATTTTTCCATAATTTAATGTTAGTAGTAATACTACATAATATAATGATATGGATGAGGTTTATAATAATGATAATCATAATTATAAAACAAGATCATACTAATGATATCACAATTATAATTAAAATTATAAATATATCTATAGTTATAATTATAGTTATAAGTAGTTGAAGCGGTTAAGCTCAATAGGTTGCCGACTCACTCTTGGGGAAGTATTGGGTTCAAAAGTCCATAAAATAAATTGCAGCCCTGTTTTCCAGTTATCTCAGACCCCCCCAACCCCCATCGGAAATAAAAAATATACTTACAAGTATAGTCATTATTATAGTTACAATTATAATTACTACTTAATTATAACCATAACTATAATTATATTTATAGTTATATCTATAATTATAAGTAATTATAACTATAATTACAATAATAATGTTTTAATACTATCAATAAGTACTCAATTAGATCAGAGTGATTCAAATCAGGATTCAAAATGTAGATCAAATTAGATCAGATCAAATCAATATTGAAAGAATCTAATCAAATGCCCATCAAAGAGGCCCACGTCAAATTTTCTCTCTCCATCCATGAGGCCCATGACAATATTTCTGTGTTTATTTATACCATCGTATATATACACACACAACATTTAAATCATCTCAGGTCACATTGTCATCGATTGCATTCATCTAAAATTCTTCCGTCCCTCCGGCAAACCGAAACGATGTCGTACGCCTACCTTTTCAAGTACATCATCATCGGGGACACCGGTAATCTTCATTTCTCCGTTTATTCGAACTGCTATCCATTGGGTATATCGGATTTGTGATTTCATTCATGGTTACTCGTTTTCTCGTATGTATGTTCGCCTTCAATTTTATATTGTCGATTTCCTGATCTTTTTTTGTTTTTTGTTTTATGTTGAAGTTGCCGTTTGTGTTCTGTATGAATGACTTGTATTGATCTTAATGTTTCGATTTGAGCTAGGGCCCCTGTTCTTTGTGATCTTTCTTATGTTGTTAGATAGTGTATTATTGTGTTTGATTTTTTTCTACGTTCAATGCGGAGTAGTTGAATCGTAGAGCTCCTTTCAACCCTGTCTGTTTTATAGCCCAATTAATCTAGTCTAGATCTATATAGTCACTATATCAGGGAAATTTTTAAAATTTGTTCTTAATTGATATTCCCAAGGTACCTTGTCCTTGTTAAAATAATTATGAATGGTGGGAATTGGACTTTTTGTTTCGCTATAAACATTTGAAGCCTGGCAGGGAAAATTTGATATGCTCATTTATCTCCACCAAATGCTTTATGAAGCTTGTTCAATTTGGATCTGTAATATATAATTGAAATTTTTTCTAAGTGATTTCTGGAGAGAGATCTGATGAGGAGGAGACTAACAGTTTGCACTTCTATGGCCTTTTGGCCTTTGGGGTTATAGATATGGTCATGTTATATACTAGTAATTTGCATGTGCTGCAGGGGGATATGATTATCCTCTATTTCTCATGATATTTTTTTTAGAGAAAGTGCACATATAGGACCAATGGACCATCATTGTTTTGTTCCTAATATAAGGTTCATTCACATCTAATTGAGGAAATTTTATACTTTTAATAAGATCAAATTTTCCTATTTAGGGAATGATAAACATATAGTCCTGTTAGTGCACTTTGGTTAACTTGTAGTCCTATTTGGAGCATTTACTATATTTTTTATGCATGTTGATGATGGGGGCTTTAAAAGTACACCCTATTCTCCCTTTGTAAAAAGGTTGTGACATGAAGGAGATCTGACATATAACATTTTCACTATGGTTCTTTGCTTTAACGTAGTGTTCATTAATTCTTGACATTATTCTCCAGTGTATTTCATTTTATATTGCCACTGACTCTGATATAGTTCCCATTAAGGTAGTGTGGTGGTGCCGTGTTGGCAATAACTGATGACGATAACATATGAATACATTTTGTTGTACAGGAGTTGGAAAGTCATGTCTTCTTTTGCAATTTACCGACAAACGCTTTCAACCGGTGCATGATTTAACCATTGGTGTTGAATTTGGTGCTAGAATGATTACAATTGAGAACAAGCCAATAAAACTGCAGATCTGGGACACAGTTAGTTCTTATGCCCAGCCAGAAATTTACTCTTTCTGTCCCTTCATTTTCTTCTCATTTGACTTGTCACAAATTTTTAAAGAAGTGGATTTTATTTGGTTGATATTTGTTTAGAAAAGAGAAAAACAAATATCAACTCCTAAATCCTATCCTTCGAAATAATTTAGGACGGATGCAAAATGGAAGAATAAAGATAAAAAGGGACAGAGGAAGCTATTAATTCCTCTGACATGATAGCTATTTTGTTTTTTTCCTATTTTTTGTTTCAAATGGATGATCATCTTATTGTTATTTCTTCCAACTCAGGCTGGTCAAGAATCATTTAGATCTATAACAAGGTCTTATTATCGAGGTGCTGCTGGTGCACTACTTGTTTATGATATTACAAGGTACTAATATTTCTGGATTGTTTCCTTTTAAGTTGTGTATTCATGTTTAACTGCTCTAGTTTTAAGTGGTTAGTAAATTGCAACTCTATTGACTTGACATTCATCAGGCGGGAGACTTTTAATCACCTAGTTAGTTGGTTAGAAGATGCAAGGCAACATGCAAATGCAAACATGACCATAATGCTTATCGGAAACAAGTGTGATCTCTCGCATAGAAGAGCTGTAAGCACAGAGGAAGGCGAACAGTTTGCCAAGGAGCATGGTTTAATATTCATGGAGGCCTCT